TAATTAATAAATTTTTAATTGATAATTAATTTATTTTTAAAATACTTTAAAATTAAATTTGACAATCATTTGACTTTCAGAATATATTCGCCATCCGCCGTTTCAGACTGATCGAAACGATGAATCGATAGTACATGTTTAGTAGCGACGGATCGATAAAATTATCGCGACGATCAATCGAAACCCACTAGTAACACGTTTGTAACGGTGTGATCACCTTACACCGTCATCTCACCTCTTTGTATCGCCTCTCTCCGCTTGTATCGTATCATTTTTTATTTTACATGTATTTAAATTTTAAATTTGAATTGTTCCATCTTCCTTCACATTCTCATTTTGTTTTTGTACCACGGTTACTCCCAGCTCGTCCGCCACAACAGTCGGAGCTGTTCCAAATTCCATCGCGAATAATCGCTAATTTTGGTTCTTTACTACGTTTGTAATCATTTAATAAGCTAAATCATGTGTAATAATTTATAAGCCTACAGCCTTCGTGTACCTAAATCTGTAATTCAGTTTCTCGGCCCATTTAGGGGTAAGTGCCTTAATAATAAAGTGTAGGGAGTGTTTTATACTGTAACTGTTTTTTTACATTTACCTTTTTATTGTTACAGCCCTTTCTTTAAACTTTACTTCTTTAATAAATTTTGTGGACCGGAAGTTTCCCATTTCATTGCCGTGAACCTGTTCACGGCTAGTTAGGGTTACAACCCTTTCACTGGCGCCCGAACAGGGACATAGTGGTAAAACGACCAAAATGATACGAGTGAGAACCCAACTTGAAAAGGGTTATCATTAAATTATTTTAGAAGACCAGAAGACAATGTTAGCACTATGAGGTTATTTTTACAACATATTCTTACTGCCAGCCGGACAGTCGAATTCGTCACTCATGTCGAAGGGACAGTCGATTTGGCCATTACAGCGTAGATTCGTACTAATGCAAGGGCCATTCTCACAACGCCATTCGTTTGATGAACATCGATCTAATGAGCAATTTCTATGTTGAAAAATTTGTTTATAATTATAACAATCTAGACAGAATATATCGCACCTCTGGTGAAAAAGTGGCTTAACTTACGTTAATTAAATTTTTATTGCATTAATATTCAATTATTTTTTGTGAAATTACTCCACTAGTTTGTTATAATTATTAATACAAAGATCGAACACTCAGAAAAAACACTCAGAAAAAATTCCTTCGATCCGGTCGGATTCGAACCGACGTCTTCTTGCATACCGTGCCAGACGCTATACCAACTAAGCCACGGAACGAACCAACGGACCTCACGAATTTTTCTATGTGCTTGCGTCGTGTCTTTGTACTTGGTCTTTCAACGACTTTTTAGTCGTAGCGCCATCTATGAAAAATCTATGACAGATTTATCACCCAGTTAGTACCTTTACAGCTACCAGTCCTGGCGAGAGATGTCGTTATTAACTTACGTTTGCAAAAAAATAAAAGTGTTATTTTATGTTTTTCGACTTTTATACTTCTGATAACATTTAAGAAGGGCTTAAATGTTATACTACAATAAACAATGCGCCCTGTATGGAAAAATGAAGGAATGCATAAAGTGGCTTTGTTTTTGTACATAAATTAAGCCTGTTTCACCGTAGTAGGTGTGATATAATTATTGATAGGAATCCTCCTATTAGGTTAGTTTTCCTATGCATCAATATCCATATAGTAACTCAGTGTTATTCACAGTATCAAAACGTCAAACATTTGTAGCAAATAAATAATATCGCACATGACGACTAACATAGTATTATCTCAAAATGGCTTTAAGTTAAATCAATATTGCCTGTTTAGTTTCAAAGCGACAGTGTTGTCTTGTCACTTTGAAATTAAATCCTATATGAATGACACATCAATATAGCGAAATTTTGGAGATAAATTATTAATATAACGCAATTTTGAGTTAAAGTATGGTATAATGCATAATACTATGTTAGTTATTAAGTGCGATATATAATTTCAACATTTAATTCCTCCATTAAATTATATATTTTCTAAGAATTTTAAAAAGAAATGATACTTAAGACACGATTTATCGTATGTTATGAAAAAAGAGAATTATTTTTGTAAAAGAAATGTCAGCCTATTAATGTTATAAGCCTTTTTAACAAAAATAATAGTTTTTTACTTTTAAGAAATTATAAATTGTTTTGGCTGATCTATGATTTCGTGAAACTAAAAGAACCTTTTCAAAGAAATCTTACCTCCAATACCTGGTTGTGGATAAGGCGTAACAACATTATTATAAAATGGTGCCTGTGTGGTCACGGGCGGATATGCCGGTCGATAAGGTGAGTAGGTAGTAGTGAAGTAAGGCGGGCTGGTCGGACAGTTTTGTTCGTCAGAATTATCTTCGCAATCAAAGTAATCATTGCAATACGCTGAGACTGGGATGCATTGTCCTGATTTACACTTCCATTGATCCTTGTCACACTCTGTAAAGATACATTTGTTTGTGTAATTTGCTTTATTTACAAAACTACGCACAATTTTGGTACGTATTGTTAACTAGCCATGATCATTGCTGAGAAAATACATGGGGTAACTATTTCAACAGATTCGATCGATTATGATATAGTTGTATTTACTCATCCCTTATGAGTGCCATTGAATCGAGCTAAGGAATAAGCCCAAAAAATTATCTTAAAAAATAAAGAGACAACAGCGTCTTAGATTAGATTGCAGCTTATCTGGAATTAAGACACACTTGGCGTGAGTAACAGTATTGGTAAATCATTCTTTTTCACAGATGCTCAAAACCAGTATTGGTCGGTGTAGCAATGGTAGGTTAGGTTAGGTTAACGAGATGGTACTTAGTGCAAAATTACTTCGCTTTTAAAAAAACGGTAACTATTAAGTGACTAAAACATGCAAACTCTTTAATTAAACTACATAATATAAAATACGTAAAAACAAACTACTTAGAAGAAAATAACAAATCTCCATTTTCAAAAACTCATAACTTAAAAATAGGTCTCAAAGCCGTGAAAAATTCAATATACAGGGTGTAAATTTCAGATGGAGCAGCAAGGCCAGCCACCTTAATCGTTGTAGTTACAGTTAAAACGGTTCTAGAAGACTATCCATGAATTTTGAAAATATTTTAAATGGTATAGTCAGCGAGATAAAAAGCTATTTTTACGAAACTTTTTTTATGCCTTTGGATCCGGTAGAATAACTGATTACTAATATGTCCCTACAAAATGTATGGTTTTTTGCTATTTCTGACATTTCGAGTAAGTACTCGAGTTACCTCAGATGGTCCCATAGAGACTATTGATTCTTAACAGAGACCGGATCGAATAACATAAAAAAAGTTTTGTAAAAATTGCCTTTTATCTTGCTGACTGTACCAATCTATGAATGTCAAAATATCTTCAAAATTCATGGATAGTGTTCTAGAACCGTTTTCCTGTAACTACAACGATTAAGGTGGCTGGCCTTGCTGCCCCGTCTCAAATTTACACCCCGTACATAGGATGGCAGCTAAACTATTCTACGTGATTTTTTTAAAGATAAACCCATGTGGTAAGTGACTACGTGGACAGAGTTTTATAATAACTTCACAATCAACATCATAATTTTTATAACTTCCAATTACTATTTTACGGAGGACAAGTTCAAATACCGTAACTACGTAAACTACAAAATTGCATTCCAAATAAAATTAACTCTACCGTAAAAAATATCGAAAGGGTTTCGTAGTTTGTCTATCTTACATGAGCAATGGGTAATTAATTGCAAACAAAGTCAAATTAAGAGTAACTAAGGTATAGAAAATATTGGGAGTACCGATACAATCCGGACTTTTGAACACGCATACAGCATTCCACAACGAATGAAGTGGATAAATAATATGCTCGAAGTACCGGAGGAGTAACAGTTTTGTTCGTCAGAGAAGTCCGAACAGTCATAGATATTGTCACAGCGTCTCAAGTGTGGAATGCACCGACCGTTGTAACAGGTAAATTCGGATTCGTGGCACGGATCTGCCTCGGACGGTGAACGGGACGGCCTCGCCAAATACCAGGCTGTATCATCAATCATCTTTATATTTTCTTATAAATTTGTAATTTATTGTATTACTACCTAACTTGTTTGAATTAAGCGTGTTTATATTGTACACTTCTGTAGTGAAATTACTGTGTGACATGTTTAATATTGCTATAAAGTAAATTGATATTTTATAAAAATTTTATTTATATATAAAAGCCGAAACAATAGTATAAGAAGTGTTTTGTCTTATTATAAATCGTCTTATCGTAATATACATAATATATATTATATATATAGTTTCAAGATTTACGAAATTCACACATTACGTTTTCACCTGTTAGTGCATAAAGGAAACAGGTAACATAAGTTTCTTAACTTTCTGCAAAAAACATACTTCGTAGTAAGTAAGAATAAATTAGATAGATATTTAATCAAATACAAATAATCTATAACAAAATAATAATCTGTAATGAAAACGATTACAAACGGCAACATATCAAATTAAACCTAAACAGTAATTTTGATATTCATTGTTATCAGAATTGAGCTGTTAAGTGACAAAAAAGATTTATCTTAATTTAATAAAATTGAAAGTTTTTCGTTGTAACTGTCCACTGTATGTTCTTTTTATGAACCCTATTATGCATCCTAATTGCTAGTACATAAGTTGAAATTGATTCCTATATATCTCATAAAACAAAAATTAAACAAGAATGTAAACACTGTGCTTGATAAATAGTGCTCTTTTATCGCTGTGTGACAAGTGTGTGCAAATTAAGTAGATATTATTATACTATAGAAACATTCATGACCTCTTATAGTGAGAATTAGCAAAATGTGCTCATTTGTTGCAAGCGTGTTGTGCTGTGGTGCCTTAAATTTACTAATCGTTCAGTGCAAAGAATATTGATCCCCACATACAAATCAAGTCCGACTGACCACCTGTATGAAGGTTTAATTTTTTTTTTCAAGAGTTCCATCACTCCTCTGTTAAACACGGTTTAATAAAATTTTGTTACATAGGTCGCAAGTCAGAATTTCTAAACATTCTTCAACACGTTTAAGACGGAAATGTTAATCTTTCCGTCACTCATTATAGCACGTACGTAGGTCTGTAACGATCTAATCAAGTCGCAGTACTACGTAAAGAAAGATACGAAATATATGCCACACAGGGATCTTTCGTCGTCGCGGACAGCTGTGTGATTGTGAAACCGATACGTCACTATTTGAATCACTTGTTTCGGACCACAGTAACAATTATTGCTACATACGCTTATAACACAGTAGAATAAGAACAAGTATGGTAACTCCATATAAAACATAGATGTGCGTGTTATACGTGTACACGCCAGTCGCGCGCCGTGTACGGACGCACACATTCGCATTTTCTAAGAGTGCACTAAGCGTTGCTTAACACAGATCGTCTCACGCGCCATTCGTTATAGAATTGTTGCTTTCATTCGGTGTTTAAAAAATAACACGTGTTTTGTTGTAAAAAGACTCGACTCCATTCTACAACCCTCGACAGTAAAATTTAGACAAGAGGTTCGAGTCTTCATGAATAAGATTCAGTCGTTATACTAACAGGTTCGCACAGCTAGCACATACCCACACACACTCGCACGTTCTAGGAAGCACACACTCGCAGGCACTCGCACGCACGCACAGGCACTCGCACGCACTCGCACGCATTTGAAGTCACTTGCCTGCATTGGCGTTCACTAGTACGCTCTCTCACGTACAGACTCGTACGCATTCTTATTTCGTAACCATAATGGAGATGTCAATGCTGATGTCAAGTTATTTCAATATAGCACGAAAACACTGTGTGCTAAATACTACAGGTTCTTTTAAGTTATGTTTACAACCTGTAGGTACAATTAAAATAATATTGTGATAACCCTACGCTTCCAGTGAAGTGTAGGTATTAAGGCGCCAAACAGGCGGGAGTTGCCCTACTTGTTCTTATTCTAATATGCTAATAATCTTGCCGAGGTAAAAAAAGTAGAAGTTGAAGTAACAATATTACTAAGTACACTAAAAATACTTTATAATTACTGTAGCTTTACGCCGTTACGGAACGCCGCTTGTCTAGTCTAGAGGGTCACCACACTTATCGATACGAAATCACATTAAGCCGGTCAGAAAAAGCGTTAAGTCCATGAAATAAGAGCGGAAAAGACATTATGCCTATCGCACCCAACGGAAGCAAAACGCAAAACGTCTTTTTCATTCTTATTACATGGATATAAACTTTTGCGGACCGGCTTAAGAGGGAGCAAGCCAAAAATGTTTTGACGTTGGCTCCGCTCAAATTTGTGAAACAAATATATGCCTGAAGTTCGCGTGACATGCGACAGGAGATGTTGAATTTTGCGCATTAAAAGTACCAAATTCGTTTTAGCGGAATAACTCTAAAACTAAAGGGATTAAAAAAATGCGTAGTGACAGTTGTCGATCATGCATAAATATAATTAATTATCTAATTTTTGTCCTAATGACCTGTAGCATTTCGAGGATAAATCGAAAAAATGTGAAATTTAGAGGTCTTCTTTTCGTGATTTTTATCTATCGAGGAAACTTTATTGTTTTATGTTTCTGATTAATGTATATGCTTGAATATATCGTGTAGTTACTCATACAATATCTAATTTTTAACTTTAAAGTGGATATACCCCTCTAAAATCAAATCGAAGATTAGGAATTTTTCCTCTACTCCCTCTTAATGCGATTCCGTGTACATAAGTGTGGTGATGCACCACACTGATGCGCCACAGCACCCTTCCCCTGGCCCCTTGTCCGATGACACGCGCACTGGCGTCGCGCGCCCGGTTTAACATGATTTTAACGCACCATATCGATGCCTTACTTTCACAAACTCGTATTTTATAAAGAGTGATTATTCAGGAGATGGTAAAACTGTCTATTTATTTTAAATTTCTTATCAAGGGTGTGAATATGAAGGAAATGTGACGTGAAATCAGCCTGCAAAATTTGTACATACAATCCACTTTTTGCATTTCAGTAACTTAGTGCTAGCTTGAGAAAGAAAGGCGACGATATGGCAAGTACTTTTAATTTATATGTAGTTACAACGCAGCGTCACCGCTCAGGCTCATATGTAAGATAAATGACGTTTCTGGTAATAGCATTTCTAAAATAATAATTACAAAAACCGACAATATTTAACAACACTCGGATATACCAACAGATAAAATATACTTGGGTATATAAAAACTTTCTGATTCCTTTTAGTTGATCTATTTATTGATTTAACATTTTTGTAATTATAGGTATATTGACTTTTTTTATTGTGAGTGTTTTTCATTGACTTTTTTTTAAATTTTCAATAAAATGTTTTTTTTTAAACAACTCAATATAGCGCATTAGGGAAACCCTGTGATGCGGGTGCCATGGACACACACATAGGCAACCACAAATTAGACCCAAACTTACGAGAGAAAAAAATGTAGGCCATTCAAATATTTCTCCCGGCCCGGGAATCGAACCTGGAACCTCTGCGTGGCTGTCCGGCATGGTAACCGTTCGGCCACGGAGGCAGCTAAATCTAAGGGGCACCGCCACTGCGCCCGTCACTCTGAGACATTTGTTGCTAAGTATAAAGTACCTGTAATTTCACCAGCACCCTTATACCCTTCAAAACAGGAACGCAATAATGCTCACATTACTGCTTTGCGGCAGAAATAAGTATGTACTTCCCTGCACGAACTCTTAGAAGCTCTATTGCTACTAGATACCTCGATTTACTCACGGTGATTAAAGAAAATATACCCATATAATGTTATTGTTGCAGTTTGTCCATTTTTCAATTTTATTTAAAAATATGAAATTTTTATTTATTGTTCTATGAAGTTTACTGAATCACAGTGTTTACTACCATGATAATATTTTTATTTTGTGAAATTACTCATCTAGTTTGTTATAGTAGTAATTATTAATACAAAGATCGAACTCTAAGAAAAATTCCTTCGATCCGGTTGGATTCAAACCATCAGCATATTATCAGGCCGACGTTCTCCCAACTGAATTACTAACGAAACAGCAGACCTTACGAATTTTCCTATATACTTATTTCTTCTTTCTTTATTTATTTTACATTATTTATCTTTGTTTACTTTTTAATTGCCCGATGTTCACGATCTTAAATATAAATAGGTAATATGTATTTTGTTTCACAGCAACTTCTCTCGAAAAACACTTTACTTCCAAACAGCATAGAAACTTAGAAAAAAACCGCACTCCTGAAACGATGAATCTTAAAAGAGACGTAGTAGTTTCACACCACCGATCGACCAAAAAGGATTAAGCGGTTCATCACGACGTAAGACTCGAACCACAGATTAATTAATAATATGAAAATTACGAAATGTACCTTTCCATAATTATGTCACATAATGACGAATAGTGGTAGTTTGCGTGGCAAATAGTCTTTGTCCACAGAAGAGACTTTTATAACTCCTCATTTTGTTTATACCGGGTTCACAAAACTGTCCTTTCAGCGTAGAAAACCTCTAATGCTTAGATGAACGCTAGCATCGTATCCAAATAGCGGTCATGTTACGTAGATTGAATTAGTCAAAATTATACAAGTGAAGAACAAGTGTTGTACGGATGTGGTCAATTAAAATTCTGTACATCGTAATGAAACAACACTTACGGCAGTCTTCTTCGTCAGAATTATCATGACAGTCTGCATTTCCATCGCAAACGAATTGGTCGTTTATGCAAGCTCCATCACTGCGACATTGGAATTGATTCTCAATACAGCCGTCTGAAGCAAATGATGAGGTTAATAAGATTTTTACCCTTTGACACACGGGTCTTTACAAAGTAAAAATGATTATTCGGCTATTATTAATATTAGTTCCGAAAAATATATCCTTTTTCAGCCATAACAGCGTTCCTAACTATTTTCTTTCTTTCCATCTTTCTTTCCTTGCCATCAAACAGTTTAATTGTGTCAATGTTATCAGTACGATTATACTATACCAAAAATATCTGGTTGTGCAACAAATATCAATCTTACTCCAATGATCATTGTATGTATGTGTTCGTAATAGAACTAGTTTATTAAGTTAAATGGAAACCAACAAATACAATTTATAATGAATTATTTTGTTCACTACAACACCTTCGAAAAGAAGCACAGACATAACTGTTTTGTTTCTATTAGCTAATGATGGTATACCTACAATACAAGATATACTACAATACAAACTGTAGTACCCCTTCCTATTCGTTGCTAATAATACTTACACGGTGGAGGTGTCATTGTATTATTGCAGTCCTCCTCGTCACTGTTATCGAGACACTCCTGTAGTTGGTTGCAGCGATTGATGATGTTAATGCACTCGCCGCTTCGGCATCTTTTAACAACGGAGAAGCTCATTCGATAAACAATAATTTAATTCATAATATGAACAAAACACAACCGCGAGCGGTTACACGTTTCGAATTCGCAAAGCCTGTTAATAGACAAACAGCAAATACGCATTTCAAAATCTCACTTGCAGATGTAAATAATACAAGTAAGCGTAAAGATAGAAAGTATTAACATGCGTCTAGAGACATACGGGGTCCCTAACAGTTTTCGTAAATCCGAATGATTTCCTTATGACTTATTTTTGAATGGTGGACGAAAATATAGCTGTGACATCGTCTGGCTCTAGGACGCATTAGTACGCGTAACGCGTACGGTACACGTAATGGTTGTTACCTAAAGTCTTCGGGTCCCTCACAATCGGCGCACTGTAACTCGTCAGAACTGTCGCTACAATCCGGTACACCATTGCAAATCTGAGAGTCTTGCAGACATCGGCCGTCGCACTCGTGGTTGCATTCTAAACAAAACGACACAGCTATAAGTGTTGACTTACGACTTCCAGTGCATCTTCTGCCTCTACCATGAGATTACATGACTTTTAGCGGCAATGTAAACGCGATGCAGTCGCTAAACGTCTACCATTACACAAGCGCGCGATTGTCAGCAGCGATGCAAACGTGTTGCAAGCGCACGACTGCATCGATAAATTTATAGGCGATTGCATCGATGCAATTGCGCGTTTGTATCGATGCAATCGCACGTTTGTATTGATGAAGTCGCGCATTTGCATTGATGCTATCGTCTCTGCTAAAATTCGCCGAGTGTAACCACTCTAAAGCAAGAAGTGGTAAATTATATTCGTAGAACAATTATTTACCATAATAAAATATCATCTAATATTTATTTTTATATGATGCTTATGACATCTGACTTGTTATAAATGGTTACGATAACGCACCTCACTTTTTTAATAAATAGCTATTATTTAATATATCTTATTATAGTAGTAAAAAATAGCAAAAATATTATATGCATTTAGTATGCGCAATACAACATGTATTATAGTTATGAACTTACGCGAAGCAGTTTTATACAAATTCGCACAGCAATCGTTGAGCAACTTACATCTAATTCGCTAAAATATCTTAAAAACTATAGAATATGTAACACTTCTAACTATAAAAAGACTATAAATTCTTAAAAAAATAATACAGCTTTCAATAGTGCGTACTTTTGAACAACTTTCAAACGTAAATGTAATCGCACAATTAGGTAAGTAATCTTTAAAATGCCACCAAGTTAAAACAATACATACAGGTTAAAAACAAAAATTTCAAAATTTTATGATAATGTAACGATGAGTGAGGGCTACTGTGACCATACTCACTATAAAAATTCAAAGTGTAAAAAACATTTCTCTACTAACACCCCTTTATTTCAAATTTCACGCACTCAATATTTAGCAACGCGTTCATTGGTAGACCCCTTTACAATAATAATAAACTTATTTACTATCGCAATCTTCCTCGTCCTCTCCGCCGCTGCACTCAGGGAGCGAGTTACATTTCTTCGCGCAGGGCACACTGGAATCAGCGGGGCAAGTGAAAGTATCCGGGGGGCATCGTTGGACACCTGGAACGACGAACACTTGTATCATAAAGAGTCGCATCTTAATAGGATCCCTGAACATATATTAAAGGTTGAACAGTTACTTTTGGACCGTTAAATAGTGAAGTGTAGAACATATTATTAACTTTTAACGTTTGTGTGGGGATTGGAAGACATTGTCAATTGAAATTCCGCAAAATGACAAAGGTCCAAATTAACTTGTCAGACCTTACATAACTAATGAAGCGTTACCCGAAAATCATTTATAATTCATAATTAAGTAGATTCGGAAGTAAAATGACAATAGTGAAAAAGTTTAAAAACAAAGTAAAGGTGATCAGCAATTTTTTAAAGACGTACTTAAACACACATGTAAAATAAATCCCCCTGTTTACAATACGACTACTATGTAGGTTCATGCAAATATTATGGCAAAAGATTTAATTATTAGTCAGAGAGTTCTAATAGATAAATAAATGTAGTTAGTATTGTCGTACTTGAATTAAAAATGTTTATATTGGTGATTAGATATAACTCAATATTAATTATATACATTGCAAGCATGCCAAACGTGCACGTGCATAAAATCCTCTAATAAAGAAGGACCTTCCGCATCAATGTTGCATTGTTTCTCATCCGATTCGTCGTAACAGTCATACTTATAATTACAGACTTTCTTTATGTTTATATAGGAGCCATCTCCACACTCCCATACTTCATTAGGCGGCCATCCTAGTATGAAATGAACACTCGCGTACAAAAAAGGTGCATATTAATACATCAATGACTACGAATGCTTGATCAAATGGGTTATTCTACATTTAGTAGAGATTGTCAAAACATAGTTCACAAAAGTAAATGTAATAAGAACTTCAATACTTGATTTCTCAGACATACAGTATCATGAGTATTATACACGACGCTTAAGAGCAGTTACGCGATGAACGTTTTAAATTAATTAAGTTATTTATATATTTAATGTATTTATTAATTTCACTTTTAAATTTAGAATTAACAAAATAAAACAAAGTGCATAAACCTGTACAGATTTTTCTTACATAATTATTCAACATAAGCGACTGTATCGATGCAGTTGCGCGTTTGCATCGATACTATCGCCTTGTACAGGCGCAAGTGTAACGATGCAGCCGCGCGTTTCGCGAACGCGCGTTTGCGTCGCTGCTAAATGTCGCCGTGTGTAACTATTCTAAGATTTCAAATGAACTCTATGCTGGTTACGATATACGGTCCAAACTTCAAAGTATGAATATTGACGTAAACAAGTATAGGAAAATTAGAAATGCATTTTGTAAAAAAAATTTACGGACACATTATGACAGAAAGACCATGACACCGCTTCCACAGAAAATGACACGTGACCGGAACTCGCATCAAAATGCTAATCGTAATCATTTAAATGTCAGTACGCCCAATACACTTACCGCAATTTAATTCATCTTCTCCTGAAGGACAGTTTCTCTCACCATTACACCTGAGTGCAATGTTAATACAAGTGCCATCTTGGCATGTGAATTCGTCCCTTCTACAAGGGCAATTGAGCTCGTCAGAGAAGTCGAGGCACTCCGTGGTGCCGTTGCATTTTGCCTCTGCTAGCACGCATTGTCCATTGTAGCACATATGTTGATTAGCCATGCATACATTGCCTGCCGTAGTGCAAACCATAACCAATACACAAGTTGTCTCATACTAAATTATGCAAACTGACGTTTCAACTCAAACCTTTATACAAGTCTATTAGATTCATACTAATACAGAATAGTAGCAAATTAAGGCAAGAAACGAATGTTAAAGTCATTAAAAATCAGGTTTGCATATATCAGCGTGTGTGCGTGCTACGCCCTAATAGGAGATTTTTTTCATGCAAAAATCAATGGTAAAGATAATATGAAATAATTTTAATGACTCAATTAATTTAATAACGTACGTGGATTCCGTATTTTGCTCTTGACTTTTCAAATGTTGTTGGAGGTTGTACAGAGATTGAACACCAATGCCTCTACCATGAGTTTACAGTGACTGACATCACTGGCGACTTCGTGAGTATTTGATATTTTGTATGGCAAATTGTATAGCATCCCCAGTAAGAAGAAGTAACATATTGCATACAAATGTTTTACGTGACAATAATTGTCACTAAACTATGATAGGTACCCTGATAAAGTGAATGTACTCACGTAATCACTTCATATTTATCGAATACTTATAGAAATAGGTCTATCGAACTGTATCAGAGCACAAAAACGAAAATTGAAGCTTATTATATCCACATATGTACCACAATATTTCATATAAATCCTATATGTAATATAGAATAAAGCAATTTAACATTCTTTATTAAAATCTCCTATCAGGGTTTGGGTTACATTATTTCAATAATACTAAGGTTTGTATAAATTAAAAAAAAATTTGCTCTGGTTGATTAGATGATTATTAAACCGTTAAAGGCATTGACTTGCAAATAAATGGACGACGGGTCTAATACAAAACCACGAAAAACATGTCCCAAGTCAACCTATTTAAACGTAGTGACATGTAAAGGAATATGAAAAAGCTAAAACGTTGAATTTAAATTGTAATGTCATCGCAGTACTGTCTAATTTTGCTTGCTTCGCTGTCAGTCGAACAAACGAAGACTAAAGCTTGAATGACGCTCTGTATATGATTTTAACGCCCTATAAGTTCGGACACTTTTTAGCGCGGACCCGACGGCCATATCCGTAAGTCAATGGTTAAAGGTCTAATTTTCGTTTTTAATTGGAAGGAGAAGTGCTAAATCATAAAAAATTACCGAACACGATTTCTTGTAGGTAACTTATTATTAAAACAGCTATTCATAAACGAATATGTTCTATTGACCGTGTCAAACAACATATTCGCTAATGAATGGGAATATTAAAGGAATAGTTTCTGGAGAAGTTTTAATTACCTCTACTTATTATATTTCAAGCGAAAATAGCTTACTTTCTATATAAAATAATACTAAAAATTATGATGATAATGAAAATACATGCATTACACAATGATGCTAAATACGTTGACACATGGTTCGCTTGAAATTTAATGTAATTTAATTAAAAATATTATGAGCGAAAATTCTGGGGAATACATGCTATAATATGTACAATACCGAATTTTGGAGTCATTGCAAACAATTTAGTTAAACCGACACCCCGACTTTGCCTACTGGCTTATGTTGTGCACCCAAAAGATGAATATTAGAGATATGACGTACATATAATCTGCTGACTGGTGACTAACAATGCAGTAAATCTAAAGATGCTTTAATCAATCACATAATTTATACAAGGTTTTCGGGTTTAGAATGCGTTTTTGGCATTATTATAATTTATTTTCACTAGTTAGCAGATCTTATTTTTTTATTATGAGTAGGGCTTTGTGAAAATAAGCCAAACCATAAGAGCAATTTCTTTCATCAGATGAGTCCTGGCAATCATTCGTTCTGTCACAAAGTTTGGATGCAGGTATGCAGAAGCCATTGTCACATGTGAAATCATTGACAGCACATTCTACAGGAAAAAGAAATAAATCTACATTTTTATCTAGTACGATTAGATAATAAATAGATCAAAAATGCAAAAACATAGTGCGTCCACAGACAGAAAGAAGACAAAAGAAAAATCCAGCTGCCGCAGTATCAGCGTAACAAGGGTTACAAGCGATTGACGCCACAAGAGGGCGAATGAGTATTAACTGTGAATATCGTTGCAATTGTGAGCTCAAGTAAGCTTTTGTTTTTCAGCTCTCAAAAAATAGCGGAGAACAATTCACGATGCCAGCGTAGCTTAGAAGAGATGAAGATTATAAAAAAATGTAACAGATAGTAAAAAGGCAAGCAATTGGAATCCTGGACGTTTATTAAACTTACGACAATTTTGTTCATCGGAATAATCTCCTCTGGGACAATCGTACTGGCGGTTACATCTCAAACTTTGATGTATTAGCTTCCCACTTCGGCACCTAAATTGCTCACTAGCTGGAAACACATGCAAAGCTGATGAATACACCAAATCGTATATGATTAAAGATTTACAATGAAGCATGCATGTTTTTTGCCATGATGAACGTACGTGTATTCTACTGTACATAATTACAAGTAATTGAATTTATTGTTAACCGACTCCAAAAAAAGAGGAAGTTCTCAATTCGACTTTATATTTTTTTAATGTTTTAGATTTTGATGATTATTGTTTTGAGGGTACCTCAGAATAGTGGTCCCATTTAAATTTGAAGAAAGTATTCCATTTCTAATGGTGGCAAACTATAGGATAAATGACTTTTGAGGCCAATTTTTTTTGTACTCTGTACTGAGATTATTAATATTGACAAAGCTTAAAATTTACCCGATAGAGACCCCGATAATTGATTTAATTAACCGTGCAGAATGAAATATCATAAAAATCACCCAGAAACGAACCTAATTCTCTAAAATTTAAAGCTCGTGCGTAAAATATTTGGAAACTTACTTAGATATACAATAACCAGATATTTACAATTTTAGTAACCTATTTCTTACCATAACAGTTTCGTTCGTCCGATCTGTCTGTGGGACAGTCGACACGCCCGTCGCATCGTTTGCTCCGTTTGATGCAGCTTCCGTGGTCACATTGCCATTGGTTAGGGCGGCATGCTTTTAAGACGAATACAGCGTGTGATTCGCAGTTGTAATGAATTTTCTATACTTTGAAAGGTGAGTTTCACCATCAAATAGTCTACTTACGGCAGTCTATTTCATCGCTTCCTCCAGGACAGTCCCGGAACCCATCGCAGCGTAAAAGAATAGAGATACAAGTGCCATCACGGCAACGAAACTTGCCCCTATCCTTACAAACAAAAAGTCCCGTCCAGTTAAAGGTACTAAAGGCTTTGGATACTTACGTTCGGAAATCCACGATGGAGCGTGCGCAGAGGGTAAAAATATTAAAGAACCTTGCCAAGGCGCTATTTGTACGAAAGAGACGATGTGAGGAGATGCGGCACCATTACGAAAATTATAACTTCACTGTCGCAAAACCTTTCAATAAATGTACAAAGTGAAGTTTTTATTTATATAGTAAATATATTTCCCTTTAGTGTCGTGCTCTTACTACTCGTAAATACTGCTACTGATAAGCGCAGAAATACATTATTGTCCTGATTCTCCTACTACACATAAATTTAAAAAGTAGGTAAATAAAATGGGTGGCACAAAAACATTACAATTGAATTTACTAATTAAAAACCTTCAAAATGTATTTATTATTTAATATTATAAGTCTGCCTCTGAAAGTCTGTATTCGAATGTCAACTAAACTTTCTGAAGTTTTTATTTTTCTTTAAATTCTACTTATATTTTGTGTTTTATCGAATATAAATGTCGTTAATATCTTTTAGTTTTTTAATAAGTTTTCGTTTTTTGATAATTTAAAACCGGTTCTAATATTTACAATAGTAGCTGAACATACCAGTTTTGTTACCACTTTCATTAAAATTCTATCAATATATTTTTTTGTTTCCCAAATGTCAACACGTATATGAGACAGTTTTTTTAAAGTATATAATGCCCTTAAATTTGATCGACTATGATAACAGAATGGACTCGATTTCGCTATTTAGTACACTGTCCCAAATTTCTCGGAAAATTGTAAATTAACTTGAAAACTTCAATACTTTTACCAATTTAGACAATGTTTTAAATACTGACCCAATAAAAATTGGACAGAATAGAGTTTGAAAATGAGTTGCGCTTACCAGTTAAACGAACACAGAAGGGTGATTTCTTAAGTTATAATCGTTGACGAGTGTACTTTTTCTCTTTGGACTTACATCTCTCTCCCAACGTCTCTCCTGTTTGTGCCTAACTTATGTGAAACTTACCACAGCCAATTTCATCAGAGCTATCTGCGCAGTGACTGATATTGTCGCAACGTTTCCTCATCTCAATGCACGAACCATCGCTGAGACATCTGAACTCATCGTCATTGCACTCTAGAGAACATAAAAATGTGCAAGTTTTATCTATATCATTATGTACTCTAGAAATATAATACTCAAGGTTGTATTGTATTACCAAGCAAAAGGTTTTATTTTTAATATATGACTGAAATACCGCAATTTTCTTCGTCTTCCCTATCACTGCAGTCGACAATGCGGTCGCAACGCCGTGAGCCTTCGATGCACATGCCATTGTTACACCGGAAGTCATCATCTCCGCAAATTTCTGTCAAACAAACATTACTGTTATTCACTTGTATTTATAGTGTAGGTTCTTATGTTGGCTAATATGTTTGGTATTTGCAGAGTACTTAAAAAATGTCACCATTACATATTTTATGCTCTAGAGACAGTAATAAAAAAAATCCGTATATTTAATCAGAAATTATACATAGGTCAGGAATCGAACAACAAGCGCCATCTGTGTGTGATCGAGTAAATTTATTTAAACTGAAACCGCGACATCGCCGCTTCTTCACCAAGTAAGTTAAGATTAAATAAGTACTCAGTTTATGGGACAGATGGCGCCCCCAGACGCAATAGGCATCTTTCACGTGAAGACGAACACAAAATTATGAGTTCCCCCACACACAACATGAGAGCGTCAGCAAAGTAAACTCACTTCGTCACTATGTTTAAACTGCCATAAGTTAAGTTACTTAGTTGATTTGTGTGATTCAAACTACATCTGCTGGCACAGTTCTCAGAAATTTTGAAGTTAGCTCATGACGAGCTGTAAGTACTTACTTATTTGAGTACTCAACTGTTTACACATACTCGATAACTCAGTGCAAAGTTTATAATGTTAGTACGCATCTTTTTACCCCATTTATTTAATTAACTTTTCATTTAATTTAATCAAAACGTTAATACAAGCGTGGAAAACATTTTGCAGCTAATTTCGATGCGTAAATGTATTGGCACTAGCGCACAAACTAGATACTCTATCGCCATTGAATTGCCTATAACAGAATAATTGGCTATCGATAACTTTTGCTTATTAATCGTAGCAATTCATGTGTCGATACTGTAAGTTTCGCGTAATATTCCAAAATAACAATACAGCGGCAATGCTCACATTGCTTTTTAAGTTAGAGCATCAAACGAGGAGACACAAGCGGTTACAATGTGATCACGTTTCAACAGTCAGTGCAAGTGAGTCTGCATAAATAGACAATAAAAGAGAGAGCTACGCCGTTTCACGTAAAAATTCGCGTCTTTTTTTCAACCACGAACATTTTTAGCAACACCTTTGGATATTTAAAATTCTGCAACTCGCTCCAAAGATGGGTCTAGAACGTGATATACTTATACTTGTATAGTAAATAAGTGTGCATTAAACTCGAACTTAGAACAGGATTCATATTTTCCAACATAATCTATGACAAGAAAGGCCACACCGCAACGTGTTTGGTAGTCCTTGATCGTAGCCCAGCTGCTCTACAGTTTAAACAACTTTTCAGACGTATCAGATTATTCCCCTCACGCTTTTATGCAGAAGATTTAGGCTTCTAAAACTTTTGTTTGCAACAGTATTATCCAATGACAGGTGACTTGAAACTTTTTTTGGATTCATGTTATACATAAGGCGCAGTTAAGTTTTATTAATACCCAATATTTATAAATTAAACGTTAATTTCATTAAATAATGAAGTAAATGATTATAGTTAAAAATATGTGTATTTTAAATACTCAATTACAAATTTGTCATTGTCCTTGTCAGAACATGATACATTGTTTTAAATTTTATTCCTTTTCCATTGTTCCTTTTCAATCTATTCACCATGTCTACATACTGCATATCCAACAAAACAAAAATATCTATAGAAGAATATTATGCAGGTTTACTGCTGTCAAAGTATCAAATAACGTGTAGGTGTACGATTAATTTGTGAGAACTCAGCCTACGGTTTTTTGTAATGGTTACTGCAAGCTAAAAGCTCTTATTTGACGAGGCAATAAACTAACGCTTCTTCAGAGTAATTAGTAGGTAAATATCAAAGATGTAAACATAGTGTAAATATGTGAGCCAAGGTAAAGTTGATATTTATTAAAGCAAATGACGCCACTCTACAACAATTTAGGCCGCTCATGCAGGGCTGGTCAGGAATGTATTTAAATGAGCTGATAAATTTATGGGCTGCATTTTGAACGCAGTTACGAGGCGAATACAATAATTTGTCAGGACAGACGTTGATGTTTCGTAGGCATATCCTTCATAATTTGTTACCGTAATGTTTAAAGTTCTGGAAACAACAGTTAATTATATATTATTTACATGTATTAGATTTGAAATCTATTATAAAAAGTTATGTTAAAGTTCTAGGGATAATCTAGACGCGTTCTTTAATAACAGTATTGCTGCGGGTAAATAGACTTGGAAACTCGAGGGAGAAGCCTTTGCTCAACAGTAGGCCGGCTCATTTATAAAAGACCATGTGAAACAACTTTTGTTATATTTCTTTTTGACTGCTGTCTTATTTTTTATGACATACGAAGCGAAGTATTTCAACGCGCGTTAAAGAACATATTATTATGGCTGATGTCAAACACTGTTGCGAAAAAAAAAGTCTGTAGTCTGCGAGCCTAACATGGATAAACTTTAAAATAAAATTTCATTTAAGTTTAAAATAAAATATTTTGTAAAATGTAGCGTATGTAGCGTACATTGGATTGTTCTTTGGAAATTTGAAAATAACTTTTTTTTTCCTTTTTTAAATTAATGGCACTAGAATACTTTGCGCCTTCGTCAAAGTAAAAGATTAGGAAACGGACGGAAATATGATCAGGAGAACTAAGTTTGGAAGAAATTAGTATATATGTATATATAAGAAATATTATAATTTGAAATATATGTAAATTACAATTAAAAAATTAAATAAATAAATGACACGACATAAATACAAGGACTAATTTTTTATATCATTAATAATTGTAGCGAATCGCAGCAGTCGCTACAAATCTCTTTTGTACATATTTTATATTCTCTTTAAGTTTTAATTTTATATTTAAATTCTAATTTTAAATGTGTTTTTATTAATGTGTTCCTTTTAATGTTTTTGGCGCCTTTTTCTTGACTTTAGCTAGTGTTTTGCTGTTTTGCTTTTATAGCGACAACGTGTTTTCTAGTTAATTTGTAAAAGTACATTTGCTTGGCCTTGTTCACTCGTTGTTAGCAACCACCCTTTAACCCATTGATACAGCCCGCTAAAATAATGATAAATAAATGTAATGAATTATAATAAAGAATAGGATACAAAAGGAGGCATGACATACGGGTAGGTAAAGGAACATGTAAAGATAGGTAGGAGTTGTTGGAGAAAGAAGGAACAGTCAAATCGGGAACAAGAGAAAAAGATGTGATCTAGGTCCCCCACATCGTCACTACATTCGCTTAATGAAAATAAGTAATTTAATTAATGACTCTTGTAACTACATATAGTGAAAACGAGGTGTTTGTTACATTAATACCAGACATAACCGGTTCATGACTTTATTAACTCAGTCAGTTGTGACCATGGGACCTATACAGGGCTCAAAATGTTGGTTTCTTTGAAGAAATAAAAACAGATCGACTCATCCGTAGAACAAAAACCTATGTGCAAGACTATTTGTTCACAGGACATAGTACATTTCATTCGTTCTTCTTAGCTGTGGATGTTAAATCGACCGTTGTTCGATTTTATATTTCCGAAAGAAAATAACATATTATATTATATAATTCTCAAAACACCTTTACATAGGCCTTAGTTTGAACAACGAAATTATTTTCGTAATATACTTAGTATCTTTTCGCTATATAATCACATCCGATTCTGTTCTTCGGATGAGTCGATCTCGACTCATCTGAGGAACAGAGTATTATTATTAGTATTTGCACCATATCTATAGGTACTAATGGTTTCATTTCTTTTATTTCTTTAAATGATTAAGTATTGATAATTGATCACAAATGTATTATTTTTTATTTGAACTTAACACTTTGTAAAATACCTAATAAGAAATGTGGAACATTATATATAGAACAGTTTCAATCCCACACAGCACCGAGGTACTGAAATTGTGTTTCGCCATCGTTCTTAGGGTAACAATATTTTATTAAAAGCTTTCAGAGGTACAGACGAATTTGCTTTACACATCACTCAAGCAAAAGCAGATACTTATATCTTTGCAGGTAAATCAGAAGCCTATCAGTGCAAAAGTACCAGGTTCGGATGACCCGTGGCCTATACCATGGCCACACAGCCTATTTGTAGTTATGAGATAAATAAAATTTGAAAACACACCATTTCGTGTCTGTGACACTTAGTGGAGCTCGTTATGAAAGAGTTCGTCCAGGGAAGCACTGCCATCTTACCTATTTCTACCGCCAAGCAGTAATGCTCGCATTACTGCATTTCGGTTTTGAAGAATATGGGTGCTGGTGAAATTACAAGAACATAAGACTTGTCAACGTATATCTCTGGGTGACGGGCGCAGTGGCAGTACCCCTCATATCTTTGCAATTTAAAGCTCTGGGCGGCACTGCAACTGTTATGGATAGACGTATAGCTTAACACCAGGTGCACGAATTGCTTGTCCCGTTAGTTGGTATCATAAAAATAAAAAAATATATGGAATTAACACATTGCAGCAAAATATCAAATCGGAGTTTATAATGTTGATATTTTCACAGTGTAAATACCTCACTCGGTTTTTCATGACGTTTGCTACGGAAACCCTCTAACGTAAGAAGGCCTTGTCTAGAATCTTAAGGTGGAACAATTGTTAGAACTTTTAAATAGGTTACATAAAAGTATACAAAACGTATTGCGTAATTTTTATAAAAAACGTTATTAAAGTACATTATAAATCAGAGGGTGAATGGTTGTTTTAGCGAATGTATTAAAAAATATCCAAGTATTGATTTTTTTGTACATTAGCTGTTTAATAGCGATGTCGTCCGCAACCCGAATATCATAGACAAAAGATACCCCAATATAAATATAGCTATGTAGATAAGCATACAAATTCTATGGATAATAGTAAGCGCTAAATTGTACAGAACTAACACGTTATCAATAAACTAGAATTCAACAACAAAGAGGTAGCTACTAGTATTACCATAATTATAGAGAGTGATAGTGAATTGGATATGTTAGATATTACGGTAACTGCCAGAGACTCAAGTGATTTGATCTTCTATTAAATGTCAAATTATTTTAATTTGGAAAAGATAACTATACC